AAATTTGTTTTACCTTAACCTACATTCCAGAACATCATAAACCTACAAATACTGTGATGCTTTGGCTATAACACAGTGAGAAAAGGAATTTCAAGCTTGACTATATATTTGTCTTCTGCATGTAAGCCGAGATACATAAGTGATTCTGTTCATCATACATGTACAAAGAGACTATTTTACCACCACTAGCACCTCCTTCCATTTGTTGAATATTATTAGTGTACTTACCTGGTATCTTTGTTCAATCATAGTGTATAATTTGGGATCAACACCAGAACAATTTCCTGATTTTATAAATAATTTTACAAGGGAAGAAAAAGAACGCTCCCAAACTAGTTTTATTCATTGTATGTCTTTCTACTATCCCAGCCTGTCTATTCACCAAGAATAACTGAGGAACAGAGGTGTGTTCAGAAAACTCTACCTTTAGTTTACAAATTAAAAAGAGGTGAATTATTGGCAAGTACCTTTCACATTAGTTTATGAGGAAGACAGAAAAAGGTAGATAATGCTGCCACAGGAAAACATAAAAAACAAAGCTCTCTTTTTTTTTTTTTTTTTTTTTTTTTTTTTTTTAAGAAATCTTAGTTCTCAAACCACAATGAGCAAAAGGGAAAAACTGAATTTGTTAATTCTTTGGAACACTGACTGCATCAAGCCAGCATTTACACTTGCAAGTAATTTCTTTATGTTTCAAATGCTGTAAAGCCTTTAAGTTTCTTGGGGAACTTTCACACAGCTCAAATTTGTCAGAACTACTGACAAATTTGTGATTTCACAAATAAAATTAAAAAGCACAGGATGTGTAGGACAAAAATCTAATGTGTCTAAAGGCACCTCAGAAGACAGCAAAACTACAACAACATGTTAATGGAAAAAATTAATAGAAGTTATGCATTTGAAAACAAACAACACTAAGCTTTTCAGTTTGTTTTTCAAATTATCTTATTGCCCTCAAGAAAATGAGATAAGGTCACTGAACTTTAAGAAAGAAACTATATGTTTCTGTAAAGCATAAGAGTAGCTGTAAAACAGACTTTAAGTAGTACATAAAACAGTGGTACTGCTTGCCTCTCACTCTGGGGTGGATTTCAAGAACTGACTCAGATGCACAAAGCATTATATTTCTCTGACAAATTCTAGATGCAGTAGAATAGTGCCAGCCTCACATATGTGCTTCTCCAAAAATACACATTTCAGAAAAGGGAGATTAGGTAAATAATGTTTATAATAGCTTAATACTAAGAAAGTCTGAAATAATGCTGGACAGCTACATATAGCCAGGTCTTGAACAATGCTACGACATGATTCACTTAACATTCCATTATTAACTAGAAGCTTATTATTAAAATAACTTAAGAAATAGGCATTTTCATATTATTTTATAAGGTTTCTTAAAAGGCTAATTTCACACTTCATTTGGTTTAAGTGGTTGCTAACACACTGTTTCAGGACAGTTCCTACTTACACAATCAAAAATATAATGAATATTACCTTAAACTATCAGTACTGTTTCCCCTCCTACTGACACCAAAAAAAAAAATCCAACCATGTTAGTTCTGAGATCACTCCCACGCAATAGCTGAAACTATTTCAGAATGCCAAGACCAGTTTTTGAAGAAGCATATGAGCCTCAGACTTCAAGTTATTTTGCTTACAGTGGTTTGAGAGCAGAAAAATCAAGAGAAAAAACCATGAAATATGGAGTACAAAGTCTACATACATATCAACTGTTACAAAGTTGTGGTTTTGTCTTTGCAATTCAGTCCAAATCCAGTCTAAGTAGGAAATAATCAATCCAATGATAACATAAAATGAAAAATTTAACATTCAGCAGTTATAGAAATTCAGACAGATTAAGATTGGGACAATGTATTGGCTAGAAATACATCATTAAGTATCAGTTAATCTAAAGAAAAATCCTGTCTAAAAAAAGTCAAGACTCATGCTGATGAAGTTAGATTACTATTCTGTTTGTACACATTAATTTTGCTACAAATCCTTCTAAATATCATTCTACTGCATTCTTAGTTTTCTTAACTAATACAGGTTAGACACTTGTCTTAAATCCATTATTCTCTTTTGTATTTATAGGCTTTCTACAAGCAAAGGCAAGATGTTTCCAGAAAACATTGTTTATAGTAATTCTGTAGAATGAATTATCAGTGTACATGGAGACTTATTCAAGTGAAGGCACAAAAATCTTTCAGGAATTTTAAATCATGAAGTGTACAAACAGAAGTGTAAACACCTGCTATAGTACATCTAAACTTTTAAGGAGTTTTATTATTATAAACACATTTAGTAAGTTATTCCAATTTAACCCAGATCTATAAATGTAATACAGTACAAACTGAATTTCACTGTATACAAAAATGTTCACAATAGGTCTTTTGACTCTTTCTAAACTAGACACGTAACACTCTAAAAAAATGCCAGTACATTATCACAGTTATGACTATAGATACACAGTAAGAAGTATAGGTGCCATTCATAGGGTGCAGGCACAGAAGCAACTTCATGTGATCTGGCTAAACAGTAATAAGGGGAGTAACTTTTTTCAGCACTGCTGATATTTATTAAGTGACTGAGACTGTTAAATCCGTTATGAATATTAATCAATGTGAGGAACAAAACAAAAAAATGTATGGCAACACACATCTTAGTGAAAATGAAACATACAAACCAGGAGATAACTGTATTTCTTTTATATGTGTGCGTGTATAAATATATAAAAACAAAACTACAATAAAGCCCTTGTTGATTAAGACAACAACAAGACAAAATGTTTACAACTTAACTTTAAAAAAGATACCAAATCCTTTCTATTACATGGAGGATACTAAATTCGCCCTTTAAATCAAGTTCTTAGGACCTATTTACTTCTTTGCACAAGGGAATCTTACCTACACAACCCCTCTGAAAAAGAAGTCCCAACACACAATGTAGTCGAAGGATGTTGCATATATAAATCCCACCTGAATTGAGACTGAATCCACAGTCTCATTGCAAAAATTGTCCCTTGGAAAGTATAAAATGCAACCTAATGCTATTTGATATGTTGTTTCCTTGGAGTGACAGAGTAGGGAATCTGTAATTGGCACAGAAGCTCTGTATCTACATGCACATACTAAATACACAAAAATTAAAGCTAGATAAATGAATATGCCAAGGGCAAAAAAAAAAAAAAAAAAAAACTAAAACAAAAATCTTGAATTCCAGGTTATCAACAATTTTTAGTATGCTCTGCTCAACTCCACCAGAAGGAAAACACTTTGGAAATGCATCCATCACTCAGCTCAATGGTTACCTCCTATTAATAACTATTTGCAAATAACACAAATACTCATATATTAGTAAAGGTAAAAACCCAGTTCAGCAAAATAAACTACATTTACTTTTGTTAAATTTGTACTTTTATGTTCTGATACTTTACAATTAAGAACCACAGTTGCTATTTTTATGCAATTCCAGAAATATTTCTACTCATCCATTAACAGATCTATACTGCCCACTTTAATTCAGCTGCCACATTTCATCTTCCTATTTGAGCCTCTGACTCCCCTTCTCTAAGTCAGTTTCTGCTTTGTGCCCCATTAGAGTAAACACCCAAAACAACACCCCACTTAATACTCAACAGAGTAGAGCATTCACTATCAGAATTCGCTCTCTCCCAAAGGAGTCGGTGACACAAAAACCTGACTGAAAAAGTGACATTCAACTAATACAAAATTTTATTTTCATTTATGAGTACACTGCATTTTAAACGGTTTCTATAAAGGTTTTGTTCTATTTAACTTCTGTAAATTAACTTCCATGAATAAATATCTGGAAACTAAACCTGAGGGAAAAATGGAAGAAACAGAAGTTGGGCAGACAGGCAAGTCTGCAAGCTTCAAGTATAGTGCAGATGTAGCAGCAAGCTCTTCTAAAAGGGAAAAGATCACTGCAGATAAACTAGTAGGCAGGTTTTTTTCCAATTGTCAAACAGATGTAAGGAACCACAGGTAGCTTGAAGTCCCAATCTTCCAAATGTTACATTGTATAATATGATGAACATTTCTACATTTTTTAAAGCTCTCAGTAGTACACTAAAAAAAGCATTTAGTACTCTACTCTGTAACTATCTAGACATTTGATGCATGCAAGACTGTAGATAGATGACATAAAAGAACACATTAGTTTGTGAACAACCAGAAAAGAAACAATTGTTGTGTCATACACCTGTTTACTATTCTTCAGAAAATTACTATCCGAGGAGGGAGGGAATGAAAAGTCATGGTGCTGGGGAACAACTGATCATAAATTTTAATGAAGTAAACACCTGACTTTAGCTAGAAGGCAGAAGATACTGACACATCGCGTTTCATAAAATAAAGAGCAAAGTCTGGCTATATTTCCTGAATTTTGAGTAGCACTTGCTGTGAAACAAACCACCAAACAAAAACACAAAAAAAAACCAAACAAAAAAAAAAAAACCACCACCATACTTGTGCAAGGATGTACATGTGTTCCCTAAATGGAAATAATCCACACGTGACACGCAAAGGGCTAAATACTTCAGTCCTTACACAAGTAGATTTTAAAATACAAAATCAGTATTTTAAAATACAAGTAAGAAATACAATCATAAAATTCATATAACATTCTAAGATTACAAAGAGAGCAGACTCATCAATCTGGCTTACTGCTTTAAGAATTGGTTTAATCACATTTCATAAAAACTGAAAGCATTAATACCACTTAAAACTGAAAAAGGGGCATGCAAGTCGCAGAAGATAATCAGACAGATACCCCCACCCTCCCCACCACGGCCAGTTACCTGTTGTTACTTACCTGCGCTCACCTCAGATGCTGCAAGAAGAAAAGGATTCAGTACACCCCGCGGGAGCAGGCAAACGCAGACGTTAAGGGTGTAAGCAATCCCAAGCCTAGAGCAGTGACTGGCACTAAGCCGGCAGGAGCAGAGCTCAAGAGGACGAAAGCACGGCTGCTCACCTTTAACGATGGCGGTACTCCCGCTCCCTGTCGCGCTCCCTGTCGCGATCCCTGTCGCGATCGCGGTGCCTCTCCCGCTCGCGGCTCCGCTCCCGGTAGTAGTCGTCGTGACGGTCCCTGCTACGAGACTTGTGGCGCCTGCTTTTCTCTCGTGACCTACTGTGGTCCCTCTCTCTGGATCGCTCACGTCTTCTAAAAGAAATTACTTCATTACACTTTCCTTCAAAACACAAGGCACCTGCATGCCAGTCGTGTGTTCTGTTCATGAGTATGGGTTTGATCAGGAGAACATGAAATATCTGCTCAGTGTGAGGCAGATGGGTTTTTTTATGGAACATGAAAATCAGCTGGTATAAAAGGTGGTAGCTAAGAAGTCAGAGACAGTAAGGTGCACCCACCTTCTACTCGATCAAGGAAAAATCAGCACGGGTGTGCTCAGAATGAAGGATGAGAAGGCTCAGACAAGCTGGAGGAATGCACCATACCTCAAACAATCACTGTAACGTGGCTGTATACTGAAAGTATGCACCCAAACCAGCTGGCCTTCTGGTTTTAGTACTAAAGTCCAACTACACTACTGCTACAGTACCGAAATGAACTAGAGGCTTAGTGTTTGTCCTAACACTGAAAGGGGCATTATTTAAGTTTTCAAAGTACCACCCATCTCTTATCTGTACTAGGTAGGTAGAAACATCCATCAATTTCAAATCTACCTACTACTCACAATTTTTAAATTCTATGACACAAGGCAACAGGCAAAATCATTCTGCTCAACATTTTTTTCCCCAACTCAAATATATTTCTACTGTGACAAGTGTGGAGAAAATGATTTTTAAGCAAGATGAAAACTGACATCAAATACCCTCAATCTTAATTTTCTAATAGCAAATCCTAATAAAAATTATGCACCGGACATGTTAATTGATAAAGGATAATTCTATGAGTACCATGTAGGAAAGTATATTAAACAAAGGTAAGAGTTAAGTTCAAGGTAGTCATATCAGCTTTGAAAAGAAGGTTCATTAAAAAGCAGCTAAGTTCAGGAAACCCCTATTTAGTTTTCTCACATTTCTTGTGCAACTCAGCAAATCACTCAGCTTCTCACACGACTCAGTTTCTTCTCTGAACTAGTCGTGTGCTACACTTCCCTTTTTATAAGTAAGGGCAAATGGAAGAGGAAAGTTTTACCTGGATCCAGAACCGTAAGACTTGGACTCAATTCCATGAAGGCAGTCCTGAAGAGAGCTAATAAGCACTTTGCAGCGATCATCCGCAGATACTTTGGATTGTTTAATTAAGGAAATCGCAGTTACCAAGGTCTCTATAGCACTTCCATAGTCCCCTGAAAATGATAGAAGATCGTGATCAGAACACTGCAAATTAAACCAAATATTTTTATCTGAAATAGTATTACCATTTCAAGTATTTTCTCTTCAACAGTCATCCAATCTTTTACTGGAGAACCAAATACTAAAATACTGTCCAGATCAGTACTGTGAAGGCACTTCAGAAGCACAGTACATCATCAGTCACAGGCTGTACCTGAATTCAGCCTCCTACTAGGAAATCGTGGCTTCAAGGCTGCCAGTTTCCTAATAAAAAAATCCCTATAAACTCTTTGTAGTTGGGTAGAATAGCAAACACATTAATCAAGTTTTACTAACCAGCACTGGCATCTGATACAGCTCTCGAAATGGCACTGCTTGAGATCGCCCTATTTCTATTCATGATTTCTTCAAATTCTGCTTCACTTAGAGGTGTCCTTGCAGCATCCATTTCTCTGCAAGCAATAAAACTAGTATTTAAAAGATTAAGAAAAGCTTCAGAAGATACCACTGCAGTTTTAACAATCCCAAGTTTGCAACTTTAAGCAAAGTGACAAACAGAAAAGAAAGCAGGATCTGGGTTTGTTTTTTGTTTTTGTTAAGGACCATGTTACAGCATAAAATCCTGAAAGCTCAAAAAAAAAAAAAAAAAGGTAAAAACACCAATCAAGACATTGCTCTATAAATAGACTTATTCCTGTTCACCCCATCTATTTGGAAGATTCAACAGCACTTAATATTGTGCTTTACCATTATTTCATTTTCATAAAATCCTTGATGGCATGTAAGTAGAGATGATCCCAATTGAATGAATGTGGAAATACATGTACATAGGCAATGCAACTTTGAGCAAAATTAGAGATCATTTTTATAACAATAATGTAATTAGAACTATATGATCCTGTTTCCCAGATCTTAACTAAGACCAGAATAGTATAACTGACTAAAAACAAATATAGTCTATTATCTTAAACCCACTCAATTTTATGAATGATACTTCAATATTTTACAACAGATTTTGTTCATTTATTTCTGGTCAAGTTCAAGGTGCTCCAATTTGATCTCCAAACCAGTCACAGTAAGGAGGAAGTAATAAAGCAGAATCCACATACTCATTACACTTTTTAGCTTTTATTATTAGCTACCTATATAGGGTTTCCAAAGTAACAGAAGTTAACCTAAACAAAATTTTTCCCAAAAGCTTTGCAGTGACCTATTAGCCAGTCTCTGTATCATATAGGAAATTTGGAGAAATGTGTTAGAGACAAATCTCGAGACTGTTAAACTGGCCCACTGCTTGATATTTCTAGAACAGTGTTAGTTCTTCTGGTAGAAAGAAAATGCAGAATAATAAGCAATGCTATCCTCTTAATTGCAAGAAGTGGAACAAGATCCTATAGCCAGTTTAGCATAAGAGGAAATGTCTAAAAATTCATACCTCCCTGAGTTTTGAGTATTATTTTTCGTGTGCCTCCCATAGAATGGAATATGTAATTTTTCTCTTATGGACATGTTATTTCCAGTGAAACGCCTATGATATATAATTAATGACAATTTAAATAGTTATGGATGATAGTTTTAACATTATTAATGAAAATATTGGACAGTAAGTTATACTGTCTTATTCCCACTCCTTCCCTCCCCAGACATTCTACAAACTGCAGACAATCTCAATTTTGTCCCTCAAAAAACAACCAACACCGTATCATTTTATTATATTTCAGGCAATTAAGCCAAATGCTTGAATTTCTCTAGTTTCTACATGAACACAGTACGTACAAATGCGTGAGATTTCTCAAAATTTGTGGAAAAGAATCAAAGTGTCTTTGCAGAAAACATTTTAAGCATGAAAAGTGTCTCTCATGCTAGTAGTAAAATCACAACTGAAAAATCCAAATGTAATTATGTAAAAAGTGTCTCTTACAGTTTAACTAAAAATTTTCTCTAACATAAATATCGTGAAAATTACAAAACAGCAGCAAGACAGAGATGCCTTAAAGCACAGATGAAAAAGGTCTTTCAAACGAGACGTGAAAAACTTGACAAGTCAAATCAGAGAGACTCAAAAAGATGTCCCAAAGAGGATTAACCACAGGAAAAGCCACTGCTACAAACACAGCGAGACTGCACCAAGTGAGCAAAAGCACCTTGACAGGAAAGGCAGATAAGTCTTGCAGGAAATTCACACCTGGCTTTTGAGACAATGACTAACTTTGAATTGAATCCTGAAGAAAAAAGGGACAGGTGGAGCTGCTGAAGATGAAAATGGCAGGAGCCTGGTATGGCACTATGCTCAACATACACATATATTCAAAATGGAGAATTCCGGAGCTTTCTAAACAGACAGCTTGCAAAGCACCACAATAAAGGTACGAGTGAAAATTTCAAGTGAAGACAGAAGCACAACCAGAAGCTGCTGCATAAGAAGTGATGTATGTTTGCAGGTACAACACATGGAATGGTGATGCTGCCAAATACAGACAGTAAAGACAACCAGTTCAGAGCTGAAAGGGGAAAGTGATATTACTGGTGTTGCATTTCAGGATTTTCTCACTGCTCCAAACTTTTTTTCTGAGAGATGTTTCACTGAGAGAAGTGAAAAGGGGCAAATGGAATCCTTTCCAGCTCAATTTTTCATTACTTCTAGCATTTGCATTAAAAAGGAAAATCAAATGCTTCCTATGAGGGAAGTAAAATCTGCTACCGAGCGTATGACATGAAAAGCACTCACCTTCCTGGTGGCCCATAGTCACCTCTGTCATATGGTGGAGGTCGGCCATAAGGATCTGTTGGAGGTGGGCCACGACTGTCTGAAGTAGGTATGCCACTATTGGCAGGTGGGGGAAAGAAAGCTGGATTCACATGTGGTGCGGGTGGTGGAGCACCTGGAGGTGGCCCAGGGAGATGTGGAGGAGGAGCAAGAGTCAGGGGTGGCCCAAGAGGGCCAGGTGGACGAGGGGGAAATGGACCCGGAGGTGGAGGTGGACCCTGCTGAGGTGGTGGTGGACCTGGTGGTGGCCCATAGCCTGGAACTGGTGGTGGAGGGCCTGGAGGAAGTGGCCCAAGTGGGGGCTGACCAAAAGGCTGTCCTGGAAACAGAACTGGTGGTGGTGGACGGTCACCACGATTAGGAGGTCCAGCTAATGGAGGTGGGAGGACCTGACCAGGAGGTGGAGGACCTGGTGGGCCTGGTGGGCCAGGAGGACCTAAAGGTGGACGTGGGGGAGTCTGTCCAGCTAAAATTTAGAAAATAAATAAAAAATAAAATAGAGTTAATAAATACAAAAAAAATAAGATTTAGCAAAATAGTTAAAAAAATAGTGCCTTTTTTTTTCCCCTACTCTTAGAAACAAAAAACTGAAAACAATCCTCACTGAACGATTTGCAACTTACACAAGACATGTATGGTCCTATTTTGGGTCCAACATCTTAGGAAACTTTTAACAGTTGCCTGACTATCAATATCTAAAGAGAACAACACTGACTTGAAAACTGACAATGCGTGCCCCGCCAATCACTTATCACCTCCTATTGTTACCAAAGCCCCCAAAGCTTACAAAAACTAGAAAACACTACAACCTACTTACACCTGCAGCTGGCCTTTCATACAGGGCGTAAGATACAATATATATTAAAAATATGAGAAAAGTTATATTGGAGAAGGTAAGGTAAATGCAGTATCCAAACCTACTTTTAGGTCCTCATTAGTGGTTTCTCAATTTGACCATGTCCCTTTGACCGTTAGTAGACGATCTACTACTGAATGACATTTATTAAAAATACTTCAGCTGAAATGAGAACTTCACTGCAGCACAACCCTCATTATTTAACAGATTTCTCCCATAGCACATACCTGACTAAACATAAACACCTTCTCTTCAAATTCGTGGGGGCTACAAGACCCAGCTAACTGACCTGTCATGAATCAAAGTTGATTTTCTGATGGTGTGCAAACTTGTGATGCAGTAAGGAACTTTATGCTCTGCAACACAGGCATTCTCACCTGATAGTGAACCCGAAAATCTCAACTGCACTGCACTAAAGACAAGGCTACTTGCTAACATGATCTACCTTAATTTTTTCATACTTTAAAATTACATACCGTGATATGTTATTAAAAAATATCTCTAAAACATGTTGTTACATTGCTCTGAAATTTAGGAAGTTCAACTCCCTGTCTGAATATCAACAAAGAAATACTGACAAATCCTACAACCCAGCTGTGAACACGGATCATAGCACATTACTGAATTGCCCTGACCCTTATAAATCCCCAAATTCAGCATTAATATAAGAAAACGCAAATGAAACTGAAACTCCACAGATGAGCTGTTTTACCTGGGAAAGGTGGTGGTGGCCCTCCTGGCCCTGCTGGCCCAGGGAACCTGTCTCCACCTGGAATGGCACCTGGAAAACGACCTCGCCCTCTGTTACTAGGTGGAAATGCTGCTCGTGAGCTTCCTCCTGGGGGACCAGCTTTACCTTCCCCAGACATCTGGCCAGACTGTGTGGCTGCAATGGAAAAGCAAAAGTGGAATTGGATAAAACAAAACAGGTTAAAGCTTTTCAAGTCTCAAATCTACAGTTTTATGCAGGGCTAAAGCATGACCTTATAAGCACCAACTTGTTCCTTAACACTCAAACCTAAAACTCTGTGGGGAGGAAAAAGTGCATTGCTAAAATGTGGCAGGGTTGTAGTATCCCCATACTAACAAAATAGCCTCTGGGGAAACCGTCAATCCTCCTCTTAATGCAGCCCAAGGCCACAAAGGAACTTTTATACATTAGGACTGGGAAGCACACAACAAGGTGCTGGAGGAAAGCACTATACAGAATCTCTCTTACCCAGACATTAGAATGTAGTCCAATTTATCTAGAAATGTGAAATTTCTAGATGATGCGTTTAAAAACAAAATCCGTTAAAAAAATGAGAAAGCTTCTCTGACTGTGAGTTTCACAAAGCTAGAACCTTCTTTCAGTAGTGCTCTCTCTTGCCCAAAGAAGAGTAAGGGATTCTCAAAAATTTTTATTTTTAAAAGGACCAACCTTAAACAAAACTGCAACTTCATTCAACTCAGTGGATGTACTTTATAGCTACTTAAAACCATGTGGAAACTACCAAGATGCTGAGAAAAGCTGCAGTACTACTTTTGGAATAAATGTCTATTTTTTTCCAAGATAGCATATGATAAAGTCTTACTTTTCCTTGACTGCATTTCAAACTGACTCAGAAATTGTTTATTGCATGGAGTCACAACAGGATTCTGCCCATGTAATTCTCTTTTAGGCAATAAATCCATCAACTTTTTGGAGGATGCTTCGGATCCCACACCCACAAGGGCAAACCTGAAAGGGAAAAAAATAAAAAAATAGTAGTATCATGATTTCCCCAGTTCCTGGGTATTCTGACACCTCCTGAAAAAGGTTACACACAGTAAGCAAAAGAATACTTGAAAACTAAATACAGAAAGTATCTCATTGGTCTTACTTCAATTTTCAGAACTGATACAGTAACTAGTCCTAGGACACATGAGAATGACCACAACTCCAAGTACACGATGCATCAAAATATATCACAGCAAAAGCTTTTTGGTGGAGCATCAATACACTATATGAATTCATACAATCAAGTTGTTATTAGTAAGCATTCACTGTGTTCTCATTACTACTAAGGAATGTGAAAGGGACATTCATGCAAGGAAGATTATTAGGTTGCCAGTGAAAAATAGGCTCAAGTGCTCAGTTTCAACAACTAAGGGAAAATAAAGCATGTAAAGAAGGATTCAATAACGGAGGCTGGGGAAACAGTATTGACACTATGAGGAACCACAAATATCTTCACTATACTAACTGAAATTTTTAAACTGAAAATTGTTAACAAGATTTAATTTGCAAGACAATGAAATGCATGACAGCATCATAAAAATTTATGCCTGAAATTTAAGTAATTAGTATGAAATTATATCCCAAATCTTTGTTTGGATATCAATAAATAAGGATTATCAGTTCGCATTCAGACAGTTACAAAAATTGAGAAGTCCCTCTCCATTTCCACCCACCCAAAGTTCGTTTACAGAAAAAAACAAAGGACAAGTTCTTACCCTTTAGACTGGCCATTAGCACGATTTTCAAAAAATTTTATCTCCAAAATATCATTTACCCCCAGTGAATGAACTGCTTCAGTTAAGTCTTCATCTGTTGTCCACTGTAAAAATATTTTTAATATTAAACTATGAAAGTTTATATAAAATACCATGAAAAGGGCAAGTAAGTTCTCCATGGCTTGGGGGTTGGGTTTTTTGTTTGTGTCTGCGAAACTAGTCAAGAGGAATACTTTATTCAGGCTGTCAGTATTTTTTATTTACATTGTACAATTTTCACTTCCCCATATGCTACACTGCACCAACTCCTCCACACAGTATACCAGCTACAGTATGCCAAAAAAAATTTTGTCTCTGAGTAACTTCTTTTTCTGAGCACAAGGCTTCAACTATTTAAGTAGCTGTTACTTTTTCCACACCCAACTGTTTTTCTCCCACTGACTCTATTCTTTTCACACAAAAGTCAATTTTAAGATGCAATGTTAACCAGGTGCTCTTTATGATATCTTTTACTAAAAAGAGCTTCATGAACTTCGTATTATTTGCACAAAAAATAGCAAGAATTCAGACCAAAGAAGGATAACTAGTACAGAAACTAGGCCTGGAAACAACTACTTCCAGTTAACCAAAACGAGTCGCTGTAACTTTTGAATTACTGTGTAACGTTTAAAAATTTCACTCAGAAATGAAGATACACAAATACACCAACACTTTCTTCCTCTAACTCCATCACTTTTTAAAATTTCATATGGGAAGTGCAAAGCAGTCTTTCAAGATTCTGAACTACTTATCTGATCTCTCTCAAATCAAGGCTTTTTCTGAAAAATTCAACAAAATTACTTTCCTGAGAGCTAAACATGAAGAAAATATACACAAGAGCAACGTTAAAGTAAATAAATGCACTTTTTGTGGATAATTTCATTTGTGAAGTCATATAATGAGTAACAGGCACAAAGTGCTGCACATTGGGCCACCTGCTCTAGAAGTGACGCCATTTGACTTGGATGAGTTCAGCTAATTCATGTGCATTTTACTGATTCCATTCATATGAGTAAACTACATCTTATTTGCACAAAAATAGCAGGACTTACAGACAAAAGAAATAGGTCCTGTTCTACTGGAAGGTGTCCCTGTCTGTGACAGTGGGGTTGAACAGGATGATATTTAAGGTCCCTTCCAAGCCAAACCACTCTATGATTCTACGACATATTTTAGAATGGCACAACTCTTAAGTCAACCACTCCTTTACTTACCTCCTCAAATTAGGATATTGTGATAAGTAATGAAAAAAACCCCCTCTAGTCGCCCAGAAAACATTCTTTTCCAAGTTTAGCACTAGCAAGAAATTCATCAGATAGCCAATACCCCTTGAATGAGAACTTTTTACGCATGAACTTGGAAGAATTTGATTTCAGGTAAAGAGATATAACCTCTGGTTAATTCTGTTACTGACAAGCTCTTGCACTTTTTTCGCTTCACTGTAATTGAGTTGAAAATGCTTTAATGCTAACAAAAGTAATTGTCTTAAGGGTAACTGCAGTTTGATGAGTTATCCCAAACTTATTACTCTTAGGAGAGCAGAAATAAGCCTCAAGGCAAATACCTGAAAAGGGTTTTGTTGCAAGTCACTGCCCTGGAAAAGGGGGAAGTGAAAAAAGGCAAAATGTAAATTTCAAGAAAATCCCAGAGAACCTTCCGATTCCTTTTTAAACTAAAAACTTCAGCAAAGGTTTATTAAAAAATAGGTTCATTCAATAATATAATAATATTAAAATACCTGGAGTCAATAAATATTTGATATTTTAAGCTTGTTCTCCTCATTCATTCAATGCTCTGAAAACCTTAAGAAGGGAGCACTTCCTTACACAAGAAGAAACTTTCAAATTTCTATTTACTGAACATTTAATTGATTTTTTTAGACATCAAGACAGCTCCAAACAGGCTTAATAATTTTCAGGTAAAAACAAACAAACAACCAAAACGAAACAAAACAAAACACAACACAAAAAAAACACTAACCACTTGCTTTGCTGTACTTTTTAATTTTCACATGAAACAACGTTTAAGCCAAAAATATTTATAAAGAACTATGCTCATAATTTTAAAATTCCTGGCTACACCTAAATACTAACAAGATACTTACCCAAGTAAGATTTCCAATGTATAAGGCAATTCTTTTTCCAGTATACGTATAGACAACATTTGGTGCAGCTCCTTTACCTACATCATCCCCAACAGACGGTGGGAGAGAATCCATGTAGTCACGATCTTCTGGGGCATCTCCATTATTTGCAGATGGAGAAATTACATCATCATATAAGTCGATCTGATCATGCCCACCATATTCAGCTTCCTAAAATACAAAAGACGCTTTGCTTATATTTAACACTAAACACTCTCAAAACTTACTCAAAGTGCTGTGAGAGCTGCCATCTTCTACAGACGTGGCAAATCTGATCCAACACACACTGTCCCCGCTGGACAGCAGCCCCCAGACTCACCCACACCAACATACACCAAACACTTAGGACTTTAATACATTCTAAACTGACAGGGGGGGAAAAAAAAAACACAGAAAAATACCTCTGGCCAATGTTTCACAACACTTCTGCCATTGTAATATAAACAAAAACCCAAAAATCCCACAAGCCTTACTCTCAGAATTAGGGACATGAGCAATCATGAACAACATACAAAATGACAGGCTAACATCTATTCTCAAGCAAATATTTTTTTCCATCAAAACAGTAAAAGTGAACAGACTCAGCTTCAAGAGCCCTACTGACAAACACAGCATTCTACCTTTCTGATTTTTACTGCATTCCTAACTTGATTTTTATCTCCTCATTCACAGAGGAGCCAGACAGGGACAGAATTCTATTTTGTTTCATTAAATTTAATAAACTCAAAGGTTTGCGTTTATTGATGTATTTATTCATGGGCTACAGAGTGACTATTCTACAGCATCGAGGCTGCCTCTGGAGCATTTTGGTTCAGAAAAGCATCATGGGGTTTTGGAGTGAATCGCTCCTTTCTCCCCTGAGTTGGTACAGGTTACAGCACAGTTCTGGCCAAGTGAACTAGATTCCTTTCAGGGAGAATAGAAATGAGAGTTACTTTCCAGCTCTGCTTCATGTGCTCAGCAACTGCATCCTACCCGATAAATGGCAACAGACTTGTCATGATCAATCAGCAGTCAGTCCTTCAGGCAGCTTCAAATCATATAGTATAGTATGAATTATTTGGTCCAAAAGGCTGGACTAAATTTAGTTGGAAGCAGACCATGCAAACAGTGTGCTAGGTAGACAGAGGGACCTGAGCATCGACTGCCCCAGTCTGCTAAGGTGCTACTATATTACTTTTTATTATAGAGACAGCTGTACTGTCATCACTGAAGACAGACTATTAAAAGAAGAGTAAAACATGTGGATGGTAAATTATAACAATCTTCTTCATAAAAACATGCAAAACATTTTTTGTACCCAAACACAATGTAACCTTCATCAGTGAGAGCACTTAGTTCCAAATATGAATGAAGCTGGGTGTTGCATATTTGCATTAAGGAATTACTTTTAAAAAAAAGACTTCTTTTGATACTTGACAATTTTCATCTTATATACCGTCACTCATCATGTTCAATGGTGATCAACTCCACAACGGGATGCTGCTATCCTTTTTGGCTACCCTAGCAATCACATATGACTGAACAGCCCAATCCGCGTGAGAAAGAAGCACCACCTAAATGTTTACTGACAAGAGAGCAATAACTTCACAGTGAACAGTGGTCTGACAAAGCTTAGGAGAGCCTAACAGTGTTGAGTGTTAACCTTTAGCTTCTATACTGACTTTAACAGGTTGCTTTGCCACACATAAAAGCTGCACTTCAAAAGCCTGCAGAAGGTCCTGGACTCTTCTGCCCTGATCCAGAACAGAAATCACCTGATGAGGTTTTGATACCAGGTGTTTCAGCATCTGTTAACTTGTGAATCTGTATCCGGAAAAACACACCAACATCCTAGATAGAACAGTTCATGGTGACTGTAAGAATCAAAGTGGATTCTACAGAGAAGTGGCTGCAAAGCCAGCAACCCTGATTAACACCCAATATATCCAATGACCATCATCGGATGCTCAACCATCTTAAAAATATGGAAACACCCATTATCAAGTGCTACTCATATAGTAAGGATATCACTAAAATAGAAAAAAACAAACCAAACAAGAAACCCCCAAAACAACGAATAAGCTACTATTTGGCACTGTCAATCAAGTAGATTTGATCCTCAATAAAATGTACTGTCCCAATACACCCTTAACATAAACAGAAAATTTATCTTTTTTAAGATAAGTTTATCATCATTAAATTAAGTAAGGGTTTCAGGGTTTTGTACTTTCACCCAGTCCTCCATCTCAGTTTGATTTCTTCTGTCATCATAGTTAAAGTGGGTTCAAAGAACTGCCGAGGACAGGCCTAAACATGACATCTTACAGCAAGCTAAAGGATGATGTCACAAGACCATTAAGGAAATCCTCTGCCAAAATGAGCAGCGATTCTAGTCATCTGTGTGTATGGATGATGACTTCAGGGAAGTAGAATTTAGTCTTGGTAGACAGATCCAAACAGGCAGCCACCAGTCGTACAGCAGATGTACACTAACGTATTTCTCTGAGGAGGCTGAGGTCAGCATTACCAAAATACCAGAGTAGGGAGCAGTTCACAGCTCTGCCGCACTTCCCTAGTGGTGAGAAACTCCTCTGGAACAGATGAGGTTTCTATCACAGGCTTTTTCATCACCATCACAGGGCGCGAAAGAATGATCAGGGCAGTATAGTCTGTGTGTAACTGGGGACACACACACACACACACGACTCAAAGTGCCTGACAGCATCAGTGCCTTAATTTAAATCAATAAAGACAAAACAGAAAACCTGACGTTGTTCACCATAATCTCTTCTTCCATCATGCTGGTTTTGCAGCCAGCATGGAATTCATTTAGTTACCAGTCTGTCAACAAGGTGTGTGGTTAGATGATCAAAATTATCTGAGTCAGCAACTGCAAGTGTAGATGGAATAGAGAAGGTGTCTCAACAGCTGCTGCACAAGATCAAACAACCCTTCCTCCTTCATACGCCTCCTATGGAAATTTACCTAAACCCTTTTTTCCTAGATGCAGAAGGGTAAGAAAAAGAATACAGGAAGTGTCACCTCTCCAGGGGTAGCTATTTCAACAAACGCTCTGCCCATATCAGGAGTTGTTTTTTACCTGTTCTGATTTTCTTTGCTAAGAGAAGACCATCAAGCACGAATAGAAATTATTTGTGCTCAATTACAGGCATTTCCAGTTTTCAGATAAACATGCCAAGCAACAAATGGAACTTAGCAGCCATACTCTTCTGAGTTGCAGAGAAGAACCAGGTACTTCTTTTACAAATGCTATTTTGGAAATGGCTTTTTTTTTAAAAAAAAAAAAATAGCATTTCTTTAAACTGTACATCTCTGAGACTTGCTTCTTCTGCTTAACTCTGTTAAATTTAAGAGTTAAACCCTAAATTACAACTCCAAAAAGTCATTTAAAAACAAAATTGATTTTTTTTTTTAAACACCACTAATTATAAGAAAGCAAATTATCCAGCTTCTCCCTCATCACTTTTCCACTGAAGTACAGTATATGTGGTCAAAAACTCTGAACACACATTAGCATCTTCAGTTTTTAAAAAAGTTTGTAAGCCCTGAAGAGTAAGAAGTTAAAGAGATAGGCAAAAATCTTTCTGGCTTCAACTAGGTGCCTGAACACAGACAGGAACCTTAACAAAACAGCAGCCCTTTGATTTGTCTAAAATAGCACACTGCCTGTAGCAGGAACAGCCACCACGGTGGACAAGTTTGTTAGAATAAGATTCATGCTTACAGGCCCAAATTATCTCAGCTCTACAACTGACACACCATGAAAATTTAAGCAATCTGGTCCCTTGTCAAACAGAGTAACTAAAAATTCACAAGTAGTCAAAAGTATAAATTAAACATAAGTAGTGTTGCTGTTTCCATTAGAACAAAGCTAAGAGGTGCCAGATGAGATGGTCTCAAGTTTTCTTTGTAGCTTGATATTTGCAAAGATACAAAGGTTATCCCTTCCCCAGATCCCTTCCAGCAGATCAATAGAACTGGGGAAATACATATGCAATAAGATACTGTGCACACATTTTGTAGTAAAGGCAGGTCTGCCAGGTTTTTGTTTTTATGACCAGGACAGCTCTGCCCTTCCAATGAGAAATTATACCACAACGTGTCCATCCTCTGCCACAATGAGACAACTGTCTTCCTGATATAAAGACTGTTTTTAACAACCTTTTCTATTTAGTCATTAAATGCTAGCTTTTATTATTATACACAAAAATATTTTTTCTCTCTGTTATAAATGATGCCAAAGGAGTAACCAACACATTCCTAAGAATCTGTAGCCACAGAGGTTTCCAGATAATTAGCCTCTAAGCTGCTTACTTCATCTAAATCACTTTTATTATCCAGCCACAAAATACAAAATCAAAACTCTTTCATTTCTAATTTGTTGACATTTAAATATCAAACTAGAATACTACAGGCATGTTTAGACATATCCACAACACAACTATGTGAGTATACTCGTACAGACAAAGCAAGTGCTTCTTCCACAGCATTAAATTAAGAGATTAAATTGTTTTGTATCCTCTGCTTGGTCAGAAGGATTTTTATATGTATACATATGTATAATAAAAAGGTTTTTTACTGCTTAATTATGTGTATGTAAAAAAATCCTTGGGAAATGCAAAATTGATCAGAGCTTCAGAGAACTTGACGATGCCTGGTCACATCTTCAGGACTACAAGAAAGTAACCCCGTTTGCTAGCCAAAGTTGCAGGCAACCTTTAGTCAGACCCAAGCTGGCCTCATGCACAGGCTCCTCATTATCTCAGTATCATGCACTGATACTCCAGGTTTTCATGTACAAAACCACACCTTAATATTCGCTAACCTGCCCCTAAACTTACTGCGGTCTTCTCCCGTGAAGCAAGTCCCAGCCCCAGCCATTTGCACCCAGATAAAGCAGCTCTCACGGCTCTTTCTTGAGGAGCAGGAGATGTAACGTGCAGGGAGATGGTCAAAGCAAAATGTGCCGTGCAACACCTATTTCCTACAGACCACAAGCAATGTATGCAGGATACATTACACCTAAGAGACTCTTGCTGCAAAACGAGACTTTAAATAAATACAAAAGACCACTGAATGGGGAAGCCAGCTTAGAAGAATAATGTGCAAAATTATTCAACTGAGTCCACCAAAGGAAAAAAGAAGGGGGTGGGGGGGAAGGAAAGAAC